TTATGCTAGCATTCTGCCCAAAATAGAGCGGTAAGATCACATTTATTTCAATGAATTATATATCAGCATTTATTTGCATTTATTAGCATTTATTTATTAATTATTTTTAATTAATTACACACAGAGAGATAGAGAGAGAGAGAGAGAGGAAAGGTGTGTGTGTGTGAATTACAAATTTCTTCAAAAACAATCATTTTACCCCTTGTTGCTGAGAAAAATAATGTAGAGATTCAGTATCAAACCTGTTTTATTAACAAAATTGCAGTGCTGTGTGCATATAGAACAGGGATTAAACTGACTTGGAACTACCTGTGCATTAAACAGTTTTAATGCATACCTGCCAGCCAATCAGAATTGAGTATTCAGACAGACCATGGCATACATTTTAATATTCATATACCAGGTGCATAGTCTTTACACAGTGGAGGTTATATAACAGGCTACTCATGCGATCAGTGCAGGTGCTGCAGGTGTGCTCAATTATTTTGGAGCAACCAGGACATCTGGGTCCAGTCAAATATCTGCATATGCTAGTTTTAGTTGGAACATTTTAATTTCAATAATTCAGTCCCTGCGTTACTAATAATTGAGCTAATTTTGGGGAAAACACACTCTTGTTAATGGTGGGTTCATGAAAAATATACAATAAAATCCATATTACCTGGAGTAAAAGTGGCTCTACAAATAAATGTGTCCTTTTCTCCACTGAAAAGAGCTTTTGGTACAATCACGCAGCTATTGAACACAAGGGGGTACGAGACAGGCAGGTTGCACCAACCATCTGTCCCACTGTTTGAATAACAAGCACATCCACCTTTTTCATCCAAAGGCACAATTTACATTGCCTGGTTTTAAAGCACACATGTTCTGATCTAATTAAGGTATCAGGGAAGCTCTGGACTTTGCTTTTGTCTGTCTGTGAAGTGGATAATTGCTGTATTGCTTTAAAAGCATCTGCTGGGGGCCCAGTGAAAATAAAACCCTGAATTTAACGGCGCTGGTTTAATATTCATTAAGAAAGCAATTAGCAGATTGCTAAGAGTAAAACTGTCCTGCCATTTGTATTAGCAGAACACCCATCCATCACTGTGTTGGGAGGTAACTAATTAAAAGTAGCAAAGCTACTTACTTCACTTCATTTTCAGTTGCATAAAAGTGCTCAGCTGTTTATAAAGTAGTAGTTTCAGTCTTGCCAGTAACTTTTTTTTTTCGCCCACCCACCCACCAAACAAGCAGCAATTTGGAATTAGTTGTTTAGTTATAATATTTACAGGCAGTGTTATTTTGTTGTTATTTATATATAATATCATTTTTTTTTTTACTTAAAGTTTTAGTAATTTGGTTATGTGCTTTTGTCATTTTTTTTAATAATATAATTATAATAATTTTGCAAAGCTTCTTCGTTCAAACATGCCTGAATGTTATACTGACACTTACTGGCCTGGATGAATATCTAATGAATTTCTATCTAATCAAAAATATCTATCATCCATCCATCCATCCATCAACTATCTACCCTTCCTTCCATGTTTGTCCATCCATCCATCCATCCATCTATCGATAATTCCCTCCCTCCATCCATCCTTCCATCTGTATGCAGCATGTCCGTCCATCCCTCCCTCCCTCCCTCCATTCAACTTCAAGATTTTTTTTTTTTACATTCTACTTTTAATTAATACTCAGTTGCAGGAACTGACTTTACATTTTAAAGGCATTAATTTACTTCAGTGAATGATGCACTACTTTGGTAAACACTTTTAACCCTGGTAATGCATTTAACACATTATTAAAGTGAAGTTTACCTTACAGTGTATTACAAGAAATCAGATCCCGGGCTCTGTGTTGCCTATATTCATCATATTCATACTTGCATATCTACAGTAAAGTCATATAGACAGCGTTTTATTTAGGGGATAAAAAATGCCTAAAGAAATGTGTTCTGGTTCAGAGAGTTCTTGTCCCCTCCAGCTGTCCTAGTGTGAAAAGAAACAGGAACCTATTTTGATATGTCTGTCTCTGTTTGTCTGTTCTTTTGGAGAGGCTGTTCGAGGTGTTACTCTGAGCTGTCAGTGGTACATTGACTTCCTGTGGCATCCTGTCAGAAGGAAGTGTGGCCAATATTATCACTGATAATAGAGCACAAGTACCTTTCTAGATCCAGCATAGTCTTTATATATTGTTAGCTGTTCATGTAGACTAAATGTGTTTACTCCTAACATGACATTGGCTTTAACAGAGAAATACATTACAATCTATATGCATACCCTAGAAATAACCTATTGACATGCTTATTCAGTCAGATGGAGCAGCATTCTAGAGATTTGGTTAAAAGGTCACAAGAGAAAATAAAAAAGCTTAAGCAAAAGTGACTGGATGCCTGTTTTAGAATCAATCGCTGTGCTTTAATGTGCATGAGATTTGGCAATCTGGACTTCTCCTTGGGATGACCCAGTTTCTTAGAGTTTTACACTAATTCACTCTTAAAGGTACAGTTCACCCAAAAACTAAAATTCTGTTATCATTTACTCACATTTATTTAAATTATGATTACCCTGCAGATGATTTGTAAACTAATACATTGTGATGTTTGCACCAGATAACCAGCTCCATATCTATGGCCTTTCTGATGTAGTAAACTTGCTTGGTAGCTCACCTTGTGCAGCATTGCACTTGAGATGCACAGCGCTCGGGTATGAGTTCTGTGAAACACGAGTCAATATATAAGAGCTCAAAGACTTGTAGAGGCATTCTAAAATGTCATGGTTGCTTCAGCAAATGTGTTTCATCTAACATTTGCTGTTGCTAACACTATTGGCTAAGTTTAGGTAGGATTTAGTGTAGGTTATTTTCAAATGCAATGGAGCATTATTTTTTTTTCCTCCACTCACCAGACGTTTCATTTTCTAACTGCTTTGTTATGTACAACAACCAGCTTTATAAAATGTTAATAAAACTAAACATTGTTTTAGCACCACTCACTGGACATTTTACTATTAAAGTGTCGTGAAACGTGCAAAAAACTATCTAATATTATGTGCTGAAAAATGTGATTTTATTTTTTTTTTTTTTTTACCTCCCCCCCCCTTTTTTTCTGCTGTCCTAGTGTGAAAAGAAACAGGAACCTATTTTGATATGTCTGTCTCTGTTTGTCTGTTCTTTTGGAGAGGCTGTTCGAGGTGTTACTCTGAGCTGTCAGTGGTACATTGACTTCCTGTGGCATCCTGTCAGAAGGAAGTGTGGCCAATATTATCACTGATAATAGAGCACAAGTACCTTTCTAGATCCAGCATAGTCTTTATATATTGTTAGCTGTTCATGTAGACTAAATGTGTTTACTCCTAACATGACATTGGCTTTAACAGAGAAATACATTACAATCTATATGCATACCCTAGAAATAACCTATTGACATGCTTATTCAGTCAGATGGAGCAGCATTCTAGAGATTTGGTTAAAAGGTCACAAGAGAAAATAAAAAAGCTTAAGCAAAAGTGACTGGATGCCTGTTTTAGAATCAATCGCTGTGCTTTAATGTGCATGAGATTTGGCAATCTGGACTTCTCCTTGGGATGACCCAGTTTCTTAGAGTTTTACACTAATTCACTCTTAAAGGTACAGTTCACCCAAAAACTAAAATTCTGTTATCATTTACTCACATTTATTTAAATTATGATTACCCTGCAGATGATTTGTAAACTAATACATTGTGATGTTTGCACCAGATAACCAGCTCCATATCTATGGCCTTTCTGATGTAGTAAACTTGCTTGGTAGCTCACCTTGTGCAGCATTGCACTTGAGATGCACAGCGCTCGGGTATGAGTTCTGTGAAACACGAGTCAATATATAAGAGCTCAAAGACTTGTAGAGGCATTCTAAAATGTCATGGTTGCTTCAGCAAATGTGTTTCATCTAACATTTGCTGTTGCTAACACTATTGGCTAAGTTTAGGTAGGATTTAGTGTAGGTTATTTTCAAATGCAATGGAGCATTATTTTTTTTTCCTCCACTCACCAGACGTTTCATTTTCTAACTGCTTTGTTATGTACAACAACCAGCTTTATAAAATGTTAATAAAACTAAACATTGTTTTAGCACCACTCACTGGACATTTTACTATTAAAGTGTCGTGAAACGTGCAAAAAACTATCTAATATTATGTGCTGAAAAATGTGATTTTATTTTTTATTTTTTTTTACCTCCCCCCCCTTTATTTCACTGTATTTTGCCCAAGGTTGTGAGGTTGTGAGATGGATACTAATTCACAGTCGTCCCCAGCACCAAGACTAATTAAACATAGTCTGTGAATGAGTAGATATCACAATGTGTGTGGATTGTAACCACTAGCAAAGACAAATTAGCCTGGTTTGTGCCCACCTCTCCCAGCACAGATTTTGTTTTTGCTCGTTCATGTCAAAAATAATCATCTGTTAGTGTGACCATAGAGTCATCCTCTCTGATATTTCTGTCTTCTTTCATGAATAGGATTTCTGAGGCTCAAAAGAACATTGTGCACAAACACTTTGAATTTTGGATATCCCACAGCTTTAGAAAGTGCTCTGGGAATGCATGGCCCATAAACAGAGCAACTTCTGACAGATGAAGCAAAGATTTTCTCTTTTATTATGACAAAGGCATACTGCGGTGGAATAAAGCGGAAGTTTCTCCAGTCATTTTTTTTTTTTGTTGTTGTCATTCTGAAACCTGAAGCATAAGGCAGGTCCACGGAGATGAAGGCCATTGATTGTTGCTTTAAATAATAGAGTAAATAAACAGCAGTAAACAGAAGCAATATTTAGAGTGAGTCCCAGCAGTAATATCAACGGAGATTGGTACTTAACAACATGTACAACATGTAATTATAATAAACTTATATAGTAGGCTGGATATGTTATTGGATATGCAATTGCACCATAAGAGCCTTGCTACGCTAGCACAACCAGTTGCACTACTATACACGTAATTCAATTTTCAATTCACAAAACAATAAGGCTTCTTACCTGTAGACCAAAGTGTCATCTGCCGAGCTGTTGTACTGAACCTGATACATCCTGATTCCAGGGAAATGTTGTTGTGAAGGCCACCTGATGAGTGCAGAATTTGCCATGAGTTCAGCAAGTACCACCTTCCTCTCCTGAGACCTGGTCTCATTGCTTACGGATGAAGTCGACTTTGCGGAGGTTAGAATATCGGATGGTCCTGGATCAGGTTCTCGGATTCGGTTAGTGCTGTTAGCTAAGTGTGGCAGCGGGTTGACCACCAACTCCACCGTGCCTGTAGATTCCCCCGCGGCATTAGATGCAATGCAGGTGAAGACTCCTGTATCCTTCAATGAAGTGATGTTGATCTCCAGGCTCCCATTGCTAAAGCTTAAAGTACGGGAGGTGTTAGCAATTAGACGGCCCTCTGGGGATATCCAGTGAACGTCTGGGTCTGGGTCCCCATTGGCCTTGCATTTCAGACTGATGGGCTGGCCCTCCATGGCGAAGGTTTTGGGAGATTTCCTTGTAATCACAGGGGGATCACAGATGAACTCCTCCTCTGGGATAGTCCAAAAGTACTTTGCCGTAAGGTCTGGTGGTGACGCGCAAGTTTCCAGGTCATCCTCCCTCGTTACCCTCCTTAGCCAGAGTAGCTCACAGTTACAATGTAGTGGGTTCCCTCCAAAACTTAGGACGAGGGAGGAAAGGGGTGATCCTTTTGACTTGGCATAAACTGGTATCCTAAGGAACAAGGGATCAGGGGGTATTTTCTTTAGCTTGTTGGATGTCATATCCAAACGGGCTAGTTTGTGTAGGTTCGAAAAGACTCCTAGAGGGACGTTCTCTATGAGGTTATGGTCCATGTTGAGAGTGTTCACATTGGTGAGGCGTCCTATAGTCTCCCACGGGATGTCCACCAGATTATTGTACGAGAGATCCAGGTCCTCAAGAGTCCCCAAAAAGTCATCAAATGCATGTGGGGAGATGTTGTGCAGTTGATTGTTGGCAAGGATAAGGTGCCGGAGGTTGGTGAGTCCTCGGAAGTGGTTGTCCGTGATGACGTTCAGGCGGTTGCTGTCTAGGTGCAGCGCACGCAGCCGCTTAAGATCGGCAAAAGTGTAAGGCATAATCTGGCTGATGGTATTGCGGGACAGCGTCAGGTGCAGGAGACTTGTCATGTTTGCGAAGTCCCTCCTCCTTACCGACGTGATGAAGTTCTCAGTGAGACGCAGCTCTACTGTACGCCGGTCAATGACTGTTGGCACAAAAAGCAGGCCGGTCTTGGCACAGAGGATGGCTAGAGATGGCGACAGGTTCTGGCACATGCAACGCTTGGGGCACAGCTGTCCCGACGCAGACACAGCCAGCACCAGCAGGGAGAAGATCAGCCACTCCATCTCTCGGGGGAACTGCAAACAAGCAAACACAGTGTGCCAGTGTGATGACATGTAAATGCACTCTCCACTTGAACGTTCAAAGCCAATAACTTTGAAAAAAACACACTGACACTGTATTGGATGGATAGCCATAAACAACATCATGCTGTTGACAGTGGCCTAGAGCTAGGACAGCAGTTTGTAAAGTATGTTTAAGTCGCTCTTGGGCTCCATATACAAATCCTCACTCAACCCTCATGTTCTGTTTGTGGTCGTTGAAATTCCAAGGTGCATTTAATACCTTGAAAAATGTACCTAACATTGAAGTATCTGGTTGATACTTCATGACTTTTTCTAGTCTAATTTGAATTGATTATAAACAAAATGTCAAGGTTCAGCTGTACTGCATAATACACGTTATATCGCTTGGGGTCTTAGAGAGCGCTGATATAAAACATGTGATGTAAAAAACATAAAAAATAATGATTAAAAAAAACACATTTCAGTCACACTTTATTTGAATGTCAATTTCTCGCTATTACGATTTTTGTCTTAATAAACAACTAATTTGCTGCATATTAATAGTTAATAAGGTAGTTGGTAAATTTAGGTATTGGGTAAGATTAGCGATCTAAAATATGGTCGTGCAGAATAAGGCATTACTATCTGCTTTATAAGTACTAATAGACAGCCAATATGTTACTAATTTACATGCTAATAAGAAACTTGTTAATACTGACAATTGGTCCCTATACTAAAGTGTTACCTACATTTCTTACTTAGGTACTGCAAAAACACAGAGATACTCACTCTGGGCTTTGACTAGGTCAGAGAGTGATATTAAAAGCATATGATGAAAATGTAGTTATTTAAAAATGGCTTTTTTGTATCACTGTGTATCACAGCATACTAGATACGCTGATATCAAAAGTAAGAATCTTTGCACCATGGTAACAGCAAAATGTGGCTTTTCCATGTTATGGTTACATGGTAATGTAGAATCAACTCATTATAAGTAAGCTTGTGTGGAGATGATGATGTAAGGTGGCAGAAATATGTAACCTCTTGAAACTGCATTACATATCCTAGTAGACACTGCAACAATACAAATACTGTATGTTTTCCAAAATCAAACTAGAGTCCTCTGAGAAAAATAAAAAAATAAATAAAAAAAGAGACCAGTACAAACAATTCTTACATACTGTATTCAACTCTGTATTCTCCTCTCAATCACAATAAAACCAATTCCCATATTACTGATAAGGTTTGTTCTAAAGTATCTGTCCTTCATGAAATGAGTGCATCTCAGCAGGTCTTGAGACTTAAAATATAGATTCATCTTTGTGTATATTAGGATGACATTCAATAGAATTGAAACAACAACATTAGGGATGCAAATCTGACCTGCTTAAACAAAGTTGTGGCAAAGTCTTTGTTTTGCTGAGATGCATCTGACAAACTCTTTAATAGATTTGTAGCTGTTATTGTGTGGTTATGCTATGCCATCATAAAGCTGCCCCTCTGGTTGACAATAGGCCTATTTATGATGTAATCTCTGCTGCTACAGACATTGGCTTTACAACATAACGATCTACTGTATGTGAGACTAGTTATAAGCCATTAAATGTTTTTAGTGTGTGAATTTGGAAAAAGGAATAGTATGAAAAGCCACGGCACTGTATGTAATAAAATTTTGAAGAATGTGATGTAATGATACCCATGTTTTCTATGTATTTATTTATTTGTTTGTTTGTTTGTTTGTTTGGTTGGTATTTAGAACAACAAAGACTGAATCCATTGTATCCATGGACTAGTAACTTGATTATAGTTGCCTTGAGCGAGCCAAAGGATTTGCATTTCATCATAACACAGCCATGTAAAAACGACAATGTAAAAAAATAAATAAATATGGGAATAAATCGGACAAATACTCTCATGAGGTTTGTTTAAAGACTGCTCTGATCATCAAATTCATAGAAAGTTATCTCTGATGTATCAATCTGATTTGGCATCCGGTTAAATGTGAGTTTTTCTGTACCACTGGCGTCACCAAACAGTGTGCTGTTCTTTTTACTTTATTACTGTCTTATACGTGTTTAATTGTTGATGATTTGGCATGACTCTGGATTGTTTTGTTCTTCAAAGCTCATCTCGGAGTTACTGTCATAGCAACGTCTGTAAGCTCAAACCTGAGCAAAAGCAGCTTTATTTAGCTAACAGGTTCCAATACCTGATTTTATAAACAGTGTATTAAAGCCACAATTTATATATCTGTTTAGAGTTTGGAGGCATATTTATTTATTTGTTTGTTTGTTTGGTTGTTTATTTGTTTGTTTGTTTGTAAAAAGAGTGCATTCAATTTATCAAAAGGGACAATAAAGACATTTATCATGTTACATGACATTTCTATTTAAATTGCTGATGTTTTGAACTATCTGTTTATCAAACAACAACAACAAAAAAACAGTGCAATGTTTTCAACATTGATAATAATACAAAATGTTTTTGAGCTGCAAATAAACCAGAATAATATAATTCTGAAGGATCATGTGACATATTCAAATAGAAAACAGTTATTTTAAATATATAATAAAAATCTATAATAATATTTCATAATATTACTTGTAAATTTGATCAAATAAATACTGACCCCAAACTGGTAGAGTATATTAGTGTTTTAGCAATTAAAATGGAATTATGTTTTATTACTTAATCATATAATAATAATAATATATTATAATATATTTGTCATGAATCTGACAAACAAGCAGATCAGCATCAAAACTCAATGTTAAAAAGAAATTTTTTTAGGGAGACCTACAAATAATAGACTCACAGTTGACTCTGCGCATTAAACTAAGAACGTATTTAAACATCAAGAAATAGCACATATAATGCAGCTGATTCTTCAGTCACTGAATTAAGCTAAAGCCACGTCATATACAGTATATAGGACTTTCCACTGGGAATTAGTGAAAGATTAGTTCATGGCAATACTCAGATACAAACCCAAATACCCTTCAGAACAGCAGCCGATCCTTCTCCCGAAACCTCTCCATCTGTAAGAAGCTTACATTTAAAGACTGACTGGTGGATAAAACTACCTGAAGTAGAAGGAGAGAGTGACTCCACTTTACTCTGACGCTAGTGAGAGGCAGTAAGTTATTTCCAGAGTCTTTCTACCGTTTCGTGCCTCTGCGACTGACAGAATTCCTGGCCCGGAGAGCTCTGACGCAATGGAGATGGATTACCGCGTCCATGTCTGCTTTCTACCAGAGTGCCCATGGGCCCTATAAGGTAAAAGTGTGGTAAATCGATCTGAACTTCCTTTTCCTGGAAGGAATGGAGAGAAAAAAAAAAAACTACCTCAAAGAAGACCTCCGACCAGCTGCTGCATTATTTTGCTTGCTTGTTTTGTTTTTGTCCGTCTATTCAAAGCGGCTGCATATTAGTTGCAACTACTTTGCTGCAATGCATTGTTGTGCATCATCATGTGACTCAAACCCCTTTGTGCTTCAATCAATGTCATCCAGTGGAGAGCTCTAGAATCAAGCAATCACAGTAATCACATGCTGCCTTGGGACTTGAGACGTGACCCGCAGGGCAGATGTCATACTTGTCTGTCACTCACAGTATGTGCCGAATTACGAAGTGAATGAACGTGACTGTTCTGAGTATTTCAATTAAAAGTTCACAATGGATTTAATTCGGCACAATGGAGGCCCAGTCGGGTGTCATCAAAGATGGAGACCCCTTTGGGGTGCACCAAATTGGCTTGAGAAACAGAGTAAAAAACATAAAACTCAGAGACCAGTAGAAACACAAACCCCGAGCTTTTTACCCTGGGTATCAGCTGTCTCCAGGACTCATTCATCTCAGGTAAAATTATGCCCATTAGTTCATGTTGCTATGACAATCCAAAACAGAGAGTGCATTAATCACGTCCCATTATCAGGCATTTTATCTTAACAGTGGGCCTGTGGTTTGCTTCTCAGTATTGAACACCGATCTGAATTATATCAACACAGTGACAATCCGCAGAAACAGGGATTTTTCTGAGCCAAAACAGATGCTTCAAGTACATAACACATTCAAATAACAGCAGTTAGCCATTTCTATTCTTTCCAAGGCCTGCATATCCATTACAATTCCCCTAGTTACTGTAGGCCTCATTTGACTGCAGATGTTCCCTGGTCCATTTAAATAAATGATTAAACCAAACTAGTAGGTGAGAATTTCACTTAAAGGAATAATCCCCCCCCCAAAAAAAAAAACAAAACAATCAGAGGTGTACAGTAGATGAGTTTGTTTCTCCATTGAAACAGATTTGGAGATATTTATCATTACATCACTTACTCAGCAATGGATCATCTGCAGTGAATGGGTGCCATCAGAGTGAGAGTCCAAACAGCTGATAAAAGCATCACAATAATCCATAAGTAATTCACACACATTCAGTCCATCAATGAATGTCTCGTGCAGTCAAAAGCTGTTTGTTTCTAAGAAACAAATCCATCATTAAAGCATTTGAACTTTAAACCATTGCTTCTGGCTAAAACATAAGTCCATAAAGCATAATGCATTCCTCCAGTGCATACAAGTTCATCTCCTGTTATCCTCTCAAATCAAAACTAAACATATTTGTTTATAACTGTCTTGGACTGTTTTTTTTTTTTTGCTTGTAAAGACTCAATTCTTGCACCGCTCTTGTTTAGCTTGTATATGCTCCCACTAAGTCAAATAATGAGAAAGAACCAAATTGCCTATCACAGCTATGCTGATGATACCCAGATTTACCTAGCCTTATTGCCAAATGACTACAGCCCCATTGACTCCCTCTGCCAATGCATTGATGAAATTAACAGTTGGATGTGCCAGAACTTCCTTCAGTTAAACAAGGAAAAAACTGAAGTCATTGCATTTGGAAACAAAGATGAAGTTCTCAAGGTGAATGCATACCTTGACTCTGGGTTTGACAACTAAAAATCAAGTCAGGAATCTTGGTGTGATTCTGGAGACAGACCTTAGTTTCA